AGAAAGAAAGAAAGAAAGAAAGAACTGGGGCAGGGGAGATGGCTCAGTGGAATAAGTGCTTCCCTGACAAGTGCAAGGGCCTGAGTTCAAACCCTAGTTCCGCAAAAAATAAAATAAAAAAACAAAGAAAGAACTAAATGACCTATTAGCCTGATGGAAATTTACTCTAATGTTTTCACAATAGCTACTACCTCTTTTCCAATGTTGTAACGTTGTCACCTAGCCATCTGTACAGATAATCCGATTGAGGTTATTTTCTAATACTCTGTTCATGTGTTTACTAATAGACTATTCTTACTCTCTGTAAGAACGTGTACAATTTATCTTCTTCCCCCCCCCCCATAACTGGTTGCCTTTTACAAGTTTATCTTAGGAAAACAAACTTCCCCCTAGAGATGAAGCCTGAACAATTTGCCCAGGAGACTCTGACTTCACTTTTTTCTTCCAACTACTTTGAAATTCTTGCAACCTGGGAAAAACTTCCCTGAAGTCAAGGCAAGAAGAGATCCAGACAATCCATGCTTGCAAGTCTGCAAGGGCATTTCCAGAAGCTGGGGGCAAACCGGCAACTAAGAACAGCACACGGTGGAGCTTATCTAAAGAAATGTTTTTCCTGTTGGCACTCTCTGCAAGGAGGCGGGAGACTTGCTGACCTTGCTGTTTTTGATCCTGTGGATTAACTCACGATGTAGCTCAACACGAAGCTACAGTCCCATTTATTTCTGTGGTGCTGGAGATTGTGAAACCAGGACCTTCCCACTGTGCGGCATTCCTGTCCATTTTTACCTTTTTTTTTCCTTCTATCTTTTTGGGACGGTGTCTCGCTATGCAGTTCAGGCTGACCTTGAGCTCACTTTGTAGCCCAGGCTGGTCTCGAACTCGCAATAATCCCCCTGCCTTGGCTTCTCGAGTGCTGGAATTACAGGCGTGCAGCAAAAAGCCCGGCTTTTTTTTCTTTCTTTCTTATTTTTTGTCATTCATGTTTCTTTAATGATTTTTTTTTCTATTTTTTAATTTTATTTTATTGAGAAACTTTTTTTTTTTTAAAGACAGTGTCCCAGTAAGTCACTAAATTGCCCAGGTTGGGCTCAAACCCATAAACCTCTGCGTCAATTTCCTACAACCCTGAGAGTATTCTTATTGTTCTGCTTTGTATTTCGGTTCGTTTATATTCAGCCTCTCTCTAGCCGGGGAAGCAACGCCATGGTGGAGCAGGGAAGACTCCACCGACCCGGCGCACATCCGGGACTTGCGCGGGCGCGGCCTCGGGAGGCGGGGCCTAGACGCGCAGCCCAGGGCCCGCCCAGCCGGCTACAGGCGGCTCCGCGCGACCACGCTTTGGACCGGAAGGAGTAGCCGCGCCCTCCCGTTACCTATTGGCTGTCGCGAGAGGAAGCGCGAGGCCTGCCGGGATTGTGCGCGAGCCGGCGTAGGCGTGCCCAAAATGGCAACCCTGGAAGAGGAGTTCACGTTGTCTGCGGTAACCTTGGGTGCGAGGCCCGACGGACTCCTGGGTGTAGAGCCGACTGACAAAACAGACCATTTTCTAGTGACGGACAGAAGCAGGACTGTCATCCTGTATAAGGTGAGAGGGCTGTGAGCGGCTGGCCGCCGTGTCGCCCCTTCAGAGCCAGGAGCCGGAGGCTGGATTTTCTCGCAGCTTCAGGGATTGTGGCATTTGTTTCTCAGAGACCCGGCGTGCTTTGTCTAGGACGCTGAACGAGGTCTCCAGTCTGACCGCGTTGTTTGCCTGTGGCGGGGTATTTCCGATCTGCAGGCGGCTCCCCGTCGCGTGCGCGTGGCACCGACCGGGAAGGGAAAAGAAGCCTGTGCTTCTGCGGGGAATCTGCAGACGCCCTCGCTGAGCTTCCCTCCTGGGGTCTCGGCCGCCCCGCTGCCCACTGCAGGGTCGACGGAGGCTGGCTGGCCGCGGATGACGTTGTCAGGGTGGGAACATGCCAGTTCCGCGTCTCTGCACTGTGTCGCCCGCTGCCTGGCTGTGTGTGTGTGTGTGTGTGTGTGTGTGTGTGTGTGTTTCCTTTTAGCCAGTGAAGAAGCGGAGGTTTCCTGTTAATCCGGTAAGAGTCTTGACTTCCAAGCGGCCTGTACACGGGCAACTCTGTTCACTATATGAATCCCGGAGGGTGCCAGGAAATCGTCCCACCTCCTTGTCATCCTCGTTCCCGATTCAGCACGTTTAACCTTGCTTTGGTGTCAATAGAAAACAATTACTTTTATCTGGGTCGCTGAGCGTATTTTTCTGTGTCATCAAAATGTTAACTATCTGGTTAAAGTTTTGGGGATGACTTGCCAGTAGTTCCCCGGTAGTGTTTGTTTAGATTCCTGAGCTGAATCTAGATCTTCACCGCTGCTGTCCAGTGAACTTGCAGGTCCTGCGTAGGAAAGGAGTAGATCTTGGGGCTTAATTTCATATGCCCCTGTTGAAACACAACGTAGAATGATTTTTAAAATATAGCGTACTGTTGTTTGTTAACATGTTGTCAATGATTACTGTTTTCATTTTAAAGACTTAGGTATATTTTCATTCTCTTTTTTTTTTTTTTGGCGGAACCAGGGATTGAACTCAGACTCTTGCGCTTGCCAGGGAAGCGCTTATTCCACTGAGCCGTATCCCCGGCCCCTTCATTCTTTTTTTGAGACAGTCTTACTATGTAGTTCAAGCTGGTCCTGCCTCAGCATCTCTGAGTGGTGGGATTCCAGGTGTGCCCTGCCACACCTGACCCACTCTTTTTGTTTTTTGCGGTGCCAGGGATGGAACTCGGGATCTTGCGCTTGCCAGGCAAGCACTTATTCCACTGAGCTGTCTCCCTGTTACTACTTTTTTTTTTTTAATTTTTTTATTATTGTTATTTTTTAACGGGTGTGTGCGTGTGTGTGGCCAGCTCAGCCCACCAGGGGGCGGGGCTGGCTGGCATGTGGTGCTGGGGGATCGAACCGTCCTCCCTGTGCTTTGCTGAGCTTGTTTTAAGTAGGTGCTTTAGACCACTGAGCCATCTCACCAGCCCCTACTACTTTTTTAGAGTGTAAAACTAATTTTTTTTTGAGCTGTGTGTATGGTAATACATGGCTGCAATCCAGGGCTCTGGGAGGCTGAGACAGGAAAGTCACAGGTTCAAGCCCAGTTTGGACAGTTTAAGAACTTAGCGAGATCCTGTCTCAGAACTTAAAGATTTGTAAAGGGCTCAGAATTTAATTCAGTGCAAAGGTCTTGGGTTCAGTCCCGTCAGGGGAGCCAGGAGGACAACATGTTTTTGTTTTTGTTCTGTGGTCCTGAGGATTGAACTCGGGACCTTGCGTTTGCCAGGCAGGTGCTTATTCCTCTTGAGCTATCTCTTGGGCCCTGGATGACATGTTTTTGAGACTGTGCGATTACAAGCATGCCCAGCTAAATTTTATATTTTCACTTGTGGTAAAGTCCACAGAAAATGTATCACCTTCCTTATATTTAAGTGTACGTGCAGCTCATTTGTATTCGTTGCTTTCACATCGCTGTGCAGCTACCACCATTATCTCCAGAACTCCTTTGCAAAGCTGAAATTCTGTACTCATTAAATAATAACTCTTTGCTCATCTCATGGTACCCACAATTCTTCCATCTTTATCAATTTTTTGTTGGTTTGCTTTGGTTTGTGTTTTGGCGCTCAGAATCAAACTCATGACCTCGTACTTGCCAGGCAGGCGCTGTACTGTTGAGCTGTGTCCCCAGCTAGTTTTAACTATATTATAGGTAGTTCATGTAAGTGGAAACTACATTGTTTGTGACTGCTTATTTTATTATCTTATGAAATTTGTTAAATGCTATTCTTTGATTTTCATTATAAATCTAATTGCTTTTAATGCCAAAAGTTGACTTACTGAATATTTTATTTATCTTATTTTCATTAGGTTTCTGATCAGAAACCCTTGGGGAGCTGGTCAGTGAAACAAGGTCAAATTATAACCTGCCCAGCAGTGTGCAATTTTCAAACTGGAGAGCATATTGTTGTACATGATAACAAGGTGAGCGTTAAAGCCTGTGTGTAATAATATATGCAACACAAGTCAGCTGTTGTTTATTATATGTAAAGAGCATATGGGATATACTTTCTGACTTAAATGCTTTCATTTTAGGTTTTGAGAATATGGAACAATGAAGATATAAACTTGGATAAAGTATTTAAAGCTACAGTAAGTCTTTGCCTTTTTCTCTTCTCTTTCTTTCTTTCTTTCTTTCTT